ACACACACACACACACACACACACACACACACACACACACACAAACAAAACATACAAAACGCGTCTCAGCGATGAGGTCAGATCCTTCCAGGAATCAGGCTTTCATTCTCTTTTAAAAAACTCCTACTTCTAAACAAAAAGTGACACAAAATGAGAGAGTCACAAAACCCAAGAATCTGACGGGGAAAACGACATATTTTTGTTTTTGTTTCCGCAACGCCTTCAGGTTTATTTCACTCACCGGGCACTTGAAGAAAATTAAAAAAAAAGGTTTCAAGCCTTTAAGCCAAAAATATCAACTCATCTGAACTGGCATTCCCTGATGATGCTGATGGCGTCTCTTTAAATCTCTTTGTATTGCTCGGTGAAGATGTAAATAAATCACGGTGGAAAAGAAAGGGGGGAAAAAGGAAGAAAAACGACAACACACAACGGCATCTACTTACAAAAGCCAAACGAACTCACGCCGCAAACTACATAGTGTGCACAGTTTGAAATTAGACGATCCGGTTTGGTTTGCCCTTTTTTGTTTTCCCAGCATGAAACCACCAAACAATAAGCTCTTTTGTTTTTATCGCGTTAAGAATAAATAAAGCCACGCAGAACTTTTGTAAACACTCGTATTTCTGGCGTCAGCGTGATCGGCCATAACTTAACAAGAGAGGGGGAAAAAAAACATAAAAAAGAAAAGAAAAAGGAGAGCCAACTTTGGTTTTGGTAAAGAAATTAAAAACACGAGGACAAAAACTCAAAATAACGTTAAAAATGGAAGTGTCTGTAAATTTATAGATACATATTTCTATACATTATTTCACAAAACCCTTCATAGTTTTAGTGGTTTTGCAGATATTAATACTGAACTTAATACATAAAAGTTAACACAATACAGACACCGATTGCAGTACCAGGTACATACATGCCTTTGTTTTTTTTTTCCTTTTTTGTTCCGTTTTTGTTTGTTTTTTGAAGAATAGAGCTACAACACAAGTCTTCATAAATAGTTGCATACATGGTAAAGCTGCAACATTGCACATGATGCGGAACACGAGTGCATTTCTCGGGTCGCTCCGTCTCGTCTGCATCAGAATCCAGGTCTGGGCTCACCGGAGGTCGGCAGACAAAATAGCTTTTTGTTCATTTTTTTGAGATAAATTCTTCAAAAATCCATAAAGCAGGGAAAAAAAAGTTATTTACAACTAAGGCGGATGCAGCTGGAGATCTGGGAAGCGTTGCCAAAATATGCACGTTTCTTTTAAAAGTGGAGGCTCTTTCAAGTCTTTGTTTGTTCGAACTGAGGCGGGGCGATGAACAGAAGCTGACTATTGCACACGATGGAACTTTAATGTCTCTCTGGAAAAGAAGGAAAGAAAAAAAAGTGGTTTTGGTGCTTCTTTTCTTCGCAAACAGGTGGATCCTGCTGACGGGAGCCACTGCTGATGATATCGACTCATATTTTCTCTCTTCCTCTCTAGCCTTTGTTTTCCAAAATAATAATTTAAAAAAGATTTGAATTAAGACAATTCTGTTTCCTCCACTGTACATACTTTCATTTACAAAAAAAACAAAAGTCATCTTTCGTTAAAAAAAACAAAAACATTTTTCTCTTGTTCGACAGAAAGCAGCCTGAATTATTCCTATTATACAGTTTTCTTTGTTTAACACTGTCCCAAACATAACGTTTGCTCTTAGTTAAGAAATCTCTTTTTTTTCTCACTGAGTCATAGCTTGAAATCTCACACAGACTCCAACAGTTCATTTGTTGTGCAGGCATATTATAAATATGCCAAAGAAGTTAAATAAGAAGGGGGGCGGGGTCAAAGGTTTCATCAGTCAGTCAGCAGCAGCAGGACTTGTGTGGCTTCATGAGGGAGGAGGGGATTTTGGTGTCGCTGAAGGTCTCAGTAGCTTTTCTTGATGGAGGCAGCGGCGGGAGTTGCTCTCCTCGTGTCGTCAGGCGTGGCTGAGGAGGCGGCTCTGGAGGAAGGCCTTCACCGTGCCCACGGGCCGGACGTCGTTCTGATGTTTCCGCCGCTCGATGAAGGAGATGAGCCTGGAGGTGTCCAGGGGGACGCCCCGGTGACTCGGCGGCGGCGGCGGCCGGCCCGGCGGCCTGTACCCGCCGTCTCTGGCGGGGCCGCCCTGAGGCCGGAGCCACGGCTCCTGCAGGCAGGATGCGGCGGGGGGCCGTCGCTCGGGCTCGCCCCGCAGCAGCAGGCGGACGAAGTCCCTGGCGGCCGCGCTCACGCCCTGGAAGTAGTCCTCGGGGAAGCTGAAGTCCAGGCGGCAGATGTTCAGACACGTCTCCTCCAGGCTTTCGTCCAGGAAGGGAGAGGCGCCGCTCAGGAGGACGTAGGTCACCACACCTGCGTGTCGTCAACAAACACACCCGAAATAAGAAGTCTCGCATGTCAGGAGCTTATCACTGTTTTAACACAATTCATTCAAAGATAGATATACAAATTTACAGTAACTCTGTAACTGTTTCACTAAATATTTAAATGTTTTGTGTTAATATGAGCAAATCAATCATTTTCTGATGGGGTTGAAACACTAAGTTTGAGGGCTCAAGATCATTTCTAGAAAAGAACTTAATTTAGTTTTTATATTATTGTTTTAATAGATCAAAGCAGCAGTTATAAATAGATATGAAACAATGTAAGTGACGGCATAGCCTGGTTTAAACCAGACCCTGTCCTTCACTTTGCTTCGTACAAGGGTCTGGACTCGCTTGCAGGAGGCGTGAAGCATGTGTGTGTTGTCGGTGTGAAGGAGGCTAAGCTAAGAAGCTAACCGGAAATCGTGTGTGCTGTAAACAACCCTACTGAGAGGAGAAAAGTACCGAGCTGAATGAGACGGCTGTAAATGAGAGCTGCTGCTTTGTCAGACAAATTTATTTTAATTTGGAAGCCTTATCAACACGGACTGGCTTCATTCACTTCCTCCGCTGCCATTTGCTAAAATAACTAGCAAACACTGCGCAGAACTTCAACTTCATTAAAAACTCCTCCTTCTGTTCTCTGATTGGCCCAGGTAAAATAAACTACAAGCAGACGCTGCGCAGAAAATTGATGTTCTGTTCTGATTGGCCTGGCTAAAAATCTGCCAGCGAAATCCTTGTCAATGGGAGAAGTCCCAGACGGAGAAGTGAAGGGAAACTAGAATTGAGCGGAGCTGCGTAGGAAGGCAAGGGCCAGGCTAGTGACGGCATGGATTAAAAGCTATTTTGGCTTTTATTATTCCTCAGTTTAATCAGCCTTTCAGCAACTGTCACCAGTCTTGCTGCTGGTTTACTTTTAGATTTGACAAGATGAAAGGTTTGGGAATCAGTGATTTTTAGAAAATGCAACCTGGCTTTTTTGTACTAACACGTGGTCAAGATTTTAGTTTTCTAGCTCTGTTATAATTCTGGTAAATTCGTTCCAGACTGATCATCAGTCATCCAAGACCAGATAATCTGAAAAAATGAAACAAAAAGTATCTCCTTCGTAATTTTTTTAAGTTGTTTTGCTTTTCATGTGAGAAAGTCGTGCAATTGAGAATCAGACAAGAAGCAAACCATCTACAAAAACAACCAAAAAAGTCAAACTGTCTTGAGTGTAATTTCTTAAAACCTGGAAAATATGTGCAGTCTAGAAACATAAATGACCAGAAAAAGTGTTTCCAGGGGGGAAACAATAGAATACTTGTCATTTAAAACATTTTGCAGCTGAAAGTATTAAATAAATAAACAATGCAAAAATATCATTTTGACTTGAACAATTTAAAACTCTTAACTTTTACGTTTTTATTTAACCTATCAGGACGCATAAACATTTATGTATCCTTTTAAAAATACACTTTCCATTAATTGTTTGCTGTACTTATTTGGAGCCATTTTAATGCATCACTTAGGCAACATTTATATTTTTAGAACAGAACCCCTCGTAAAACAAAGGACCTGATTTCAACTTTTCAGGTAACATTTTTTAAGGAAATCAGCAGGAACTTCTACTAAATGATCAATTCAAGAAGAAAAAAAAAAACAACAACACAACGTGGTTTAAAATGTAGCGTGGTGTGAACAGATGTGTTGTAGGATGCATAAATAGGAAGAATAACGCGCTTGGTTCTGCACAGACCTAAGCTCCAGAGGTCAGACATCAGTGAGGCGGGCTGACCCAGGACCAGCTCAGGGGCGGAGAACTCGGGGCTCCCCAGCAGAGGATGGATGTAGGAGGAGTGAGGGTTCAGCCGAACGGCGTCGCCGAAGTCCGTCAGCTTGATCGCAGGCTGAGAGGACACGTGCTCCACCACGATGTTCTCAGGCTGCGGGAACAGGAGAGGATTTTATACATCAATTATTTTCAAGCTTCAAAAGCAAAAACGACAGCCGGTTCAGAAGGTGCGAAGAGATTTCTGACTGCTGTGATCAATGAAGAAAACCCAACTGATGCAACTGTGGAAAGTAGCGAACTGATGGAAACATGCATTTAAAAAAAAACAAAAGGTCTGTTTACTTTGAGATCCAGGTGGGCTATCTGCCAGCGGTGCAGGTACTGGAGAGCTTCGAGCAGGTCTCGGAGGTAGAACGCCACCTTCTCCTCGGTCAGGTTCCCCCAGCTCACTATGTAGTCGAGGAAACGTCCCTGGTCTGCCCTGAGAGCAGAAACAAGAAGCGCATCAGGGCCGTCCGAGGTCACGGGAACGTTTGGTTCACCTCGGCAGCGTGGAGTCTTCTGCACTCACATCTCCAGGACGAGGACGTAGCTGCTGGCTGTCTCGTACGTGTCCAGAAGTTTGACCAGGTTGGGGTGGTCCAGGGTCTGCAGGAGCCTGATCTCCTGCAGCACCTGCTCCCGACGCAGCAGCTTCTTGTTGACGTGTTTCGCTGCGATGGTGCGTTTGCTGCCCCGCTGGTCACACCTCTTAGTCACTGAGAACCGGCCCCTGCAGAGCGGAGAGGAGGGTCTCCTGTCTCACTGAATGCTGACTCAGCAGGCGCACTGTTCTCCTGCTTTCACATGATTCCCTTCAGGATTTTCTCTTTTTTTATTTTTGCAATCTAAGTATTTTGTTGTATTTGAGGGATTGAATATATCAAAACATTCAGCTCATACAGGAAATGGATGATACAACTACTTTTTTAAATTTTATACTATTCCGAATGCTGGTGAAGATTCTCAGTTATCCAGGTCATGATCAATAGAAAAGAGTTAAAAACAAAAACAAGTGGACTTACAATTTTTAAGTTAAAGACGTTTCATTTCCCATCCAGGAGGCTATATATTTATATATATATATAAGAGTACAACAATACATGTACCCGTATCGAACCATTACAGAGCTTTAGGCTCAATACACACAAGCAATACAGATTTTTTAAATTTATTTTATGAACTTGTCTTCTGAAGATGCTCTGTGTCGAAGGATCAGAGGATCTGTGTTCGACTACTCCACCTAGGCTGTATTTTCAAGTGCAGATCCACTGAGAAACTTGTTGTTTCAGCAACATTTAAGTTTAAATTTAATTTAAAAGCAGTACTTTTGGAGGTTAAACAAATGTTCATAAATAATTTCAATAAATTCCAAGTTAAAAATGGCATGGAAATTTCGGTTATTTGTATCAAAAAAATATAGAACCGTGAGACTAAAATATCGAACCGAACCGTTGAAACTGTTTTTATTACAGAAACAAATCCTGCTTCACATGGAAAGCTGCAACATTCATGCCATTATTAGACTACAGTGATTTGCTGTACTTTGGCGCTGCATCAAAATACCTGCAGTCCTTAGACTCAGTCTACCATAGTGCGCTGTGGTTCATCACAGACTCCAGCTACCTTACTCATCACTGTGAATTTTATGTTAAATCTGGCTGGTCATCCCTCACTGCTCACGGATACACTCATTGGACATCTCTAATCTTTAAGACCCTCCTGCACTTAGTCCCATCGTACCTTTTCACCTTAATGCAAACAACACACAGTCATTATTCTCTGCGCTCCAACAATCTAGTACTGTTGTCAGTTCCTCATGTCAGAATTGAACTATAAAGAGCATTCAGCTTTGCCGCCCCCTCAACCTGGAACAAATTACTGACGGAACTGAAACTAGCAAAACTCATCTCGCCGAGATCCTTCATTTCAACCCTTACAGAAACTGTCATCAAGAGCTTTTATAGCTGCCTATGTTTGTCTTAAACACTATTTGTGTACTGTACGTGTTACTCCTATTTTTCAGTCTGTACTCAACCTAAACTTGGTAATTTAACTCTCAAATGTCATTTCATTAAGTCTTGAAACAACTGTCAATGCCTACATTACTACTTTGACTCATTTAGATTGTTTGCACTACTCATTGTCTAAATCTGTTTAATGCTACTGTGTTTTACGTATATTTTTCTTTTCTACAATGTAACTTTTGTGTCAACTACCCTGTGACGTGTGCTGCTGACCTCTTGACCAGGTCAACCTTGGAAAAAAGATCTTGATCTCAATGGGCTATATCTGGTAAGGTAAAGGCTACTGAAAAAAAAAATATATATATATTGTGTGTGTGTATATATATATATATATATATATATATATATATATATGCGTGCGTGTCTGTGTGAGAATGAGGACGATTTTATCAGTGGTACCTTACCTTCCGAGTTCTGTAATCTCAGTGTAGTAAGACTCAAAACTACTCTTCCAGATGTCTTCGCTGCCATCATCAGGCGCTGCAGAGAACAGTCCGTTTATCAAGTATCCAGTGTCAGGAAGACAGGACAAAATTTATGTGCCATCCGCTGAAGCTGTCATGCAGCAGACTGACAGATTTATAAAACGAGGATTTATTCTCACCTGATACTGTGAGGCTGGCAGAGGAGGTAACGGTGCCTGCCATGTTCGTGGCCACACAGGTGTACACACCACTGTCCTCTAAAGACACCCCCAGGACATGAAGAGAGGCCTCTCCTGTTTCACTGCATGACAAATAAATACGAGGGAGCAAACTGTCAGACAAATCAGATATACGTCGGAATGGAAAATGGACACAAAATCCGTGAATGGATTATTTCGTTTGTCTGTTGCAAAATAAAACAAGAAAAAAATCTAATAATCTGCTGTTGTTTTAGTTTTTGTGTTTACAAAAAAATGAAGAATGCCCAGAACTGGGTTTGAGTGCAGCCATTGCCAAAATCTTTAGGATCAGCATCTTTTTCTTGTATTTTTACATTCAGATTTTGAAAACGAGAAAAAAAAAACCACATGGTTGTTTTCTTTTTGCAATTTTATTTTGAAACGGTAAAACGAAAGAACGAACCACACAATTGTTTTCTATTTTGTTTTGAACTTTGATTAAAAGACCGTTCTGTTTCTTATTTACCAATAATATACATATATATTTTAATTCCATCATTTTATGCATGTTTCTTCTACATCTTCAAACTGCCTCAGCTACCTACAACAGGTAAGATATTAAGTGTTTCTAACATTACCAAAGAATCTCAGCTCAGAAGATTTGAACAAACCTTCAGAGACAATAATACTCACTCTAAACCCAGCATTAAAACCCTTATCAGCTGACCCTTTGAGAACCATGTACCACACACAGCAATGTAATTTCCAGATGTTTGCACCTGTATGTGATGCTGTAGTGTCCGTCGTTGCTCAGGATGTCGTCGTCGGGTCCACGCCATGCGACGGTGGCCCGAGGCCGACCGCAAACTTTACACCTCAAGATGACGCTGTTGCCGCTCTCACAGGAGGCGTCGCTGAGGGGGATGAGGAACTCTGGTGGTGCTGGAAAAAAAAAACAGACAAATTACATTTTAAGTAAACTAACAGGAAAATACAAAATACTTACAAGAAAAAAAACTTACCATCATAGATGTAGTTGGGATTCAGAAGCTGAAGTGAAAAAAAGGTACATCAGGTTAGATTTCTTGGACTGATTCAAATGTAACTAGAAAATGTTTTTCCTATGAAAAAAAAACAAGTGTGCATGAAATGCAACTGAAGCCTTTAATTAAATATAATTGATTCAAATAACATGTTTAAAAACAAAATGCTGCACTTAAAATAACGAACTGTAAAAAAATACTTGAACCCATTAACCCATAACAACAAAAACATAAATTAAAATATAATTAGACATAAAATAAAAACATTTCAACTATGTAAAAACAGTCAAGGGTCATACTGTGCTCAGGTCACTACTCTTTGCTTTAATCAGTGCTGCTGAAACAGATGAGAAATGTGTGTGAATACAACAGAACAGCCCACCCTCCCTACCTTAACAGACACCTTGGTGGCCAGGTTGTCCTGAGACTTGCGGTAACCGTTCTCCAGTTTCCTGCCCTCCTTGTCTCTCTTCTCAGACTTGCGGCGGATACGCAGGGCTGTGTGCCATGACAATGATTTTCTAAAGCAAACAAAATCACAACAAAAAGAGAAAAAAAATTATTTTCTGTTTTGTATGCAAGCATTCGCCACACATTTGTCGTCGTCTTCTGTCGTTTGTGAAACGGGCTCTTACTTGATGGTTCCTTCGGGTAGCTCGGGTGTGACGGAGGATGAGGTGTGTCCCAACACGTAGCCAGGGATCCAGCCCTCAGCGGCAGGGGAGTGCTCGTTGGAGGCCCGGTACACCAGGAACATGTTCTGCTGGTTGCTGGCTAGCATCTGGACCACCTCACCCTGCACAACACTGATCTCATCCTCCTTCACTGCCACATAGTCCTGCGTCACCAGCATGGTGGACACGCTGCTGCTGCTACTGCTTTCACTCTGCTGAAGAAAGGATTTGTGAAGCTCAATGCGCAAAACGCAGCGTGACATGATAGCAGCAAATAAAACAACACAAAACATGGGACTAAATAATCTGTTTAGCTGATGTAAACACAAACAAATGCTGCGGTCATTTGTTTGATGCAAGCTGCAACAAAAGTACTGTCCTTGTTATTTCTACTTGTAAAGGTATGGAAAAAATTTTTGTTTAAAGCGATAATGTAGATTTTTTGAGCGAGTGTTCTGTGGAAAAGTTTAGGAACAATCAGTATCTTACCTGTTGTAGGGAGCTGTTGGAACAACCCTAATTTGGACAGAGTTTATTAATTATTAATTAACGATTAGCTAACGGCTAGTTTAAACAAAGCCACCTCAAGCCAACTCAAATTTTTAATATTTCACAGCAGTTAATGCAAATGTTGTTTCATAAACCTTTACATCAGTAGTTCCCAACCTGGGGAACTCATAACTTTGTCTGCTCAGAGGTTGTGAAAATACAAATTTATTGTTTGTATATAAAAAAAAAATCACTAAAATATGTCTATTTAAACAATTAAAACTGTTTAAATCAGTTTTTTTCCTTTTTCAACTAAAAGTTTGTATCTATTCACTATTCTTTTTTAATATATATATATATATATAAAAGAATAAAGGTTAAAATGTGTTTTTGTTAGAGGTGCAGTTTTGGATTGACTTCCTCCACTCCACTAGGGGGCTCTATATGTTGTTTAATTTTGTTCTGAAGAACTTTGTGTGAAACCGGGAGTAACATTGATTGTGTTCTTTGAGGGACCCGGCCTGCCTATACCAGAAAAAAGTTGTGAATTTGGACGGTCTAGCCTTGAGCTTTATTCCCGCCTTTCCCCCGGCGTATGTCCTGTCGCCTAGTTAAACAAAAGCAAAAATAGATTGAAATTAGGAGAATACCAATGTATTAGTTTTAATAGTAAAATTAGCTTAAAGGGACCAGCTGTACATGTTTATTTCACCATATGAGCTTGTTTGATTTCTGACAAGAATAATATTAAAAAACATATCTATGCAAATGTCAAAACTAAACACGACCGCTTTAAACTTTCAATGTTTTTACCAACAGATTTTTATTTCAAGCTGTATTCCTTCCACTTGCTTCGTTCGCCATTGCAAGCAAAATAAATCTCCGGTTGGCCCAGAATGCATCATGGAATACGGTGGGCCTCAAATAGGGGCAAAAGGAGGACACATTTGTGGGCCGCAGCGGAGGAGTCTTCAAATTTAGATAGACTTTGGTGAGATTCAGTGACTGAAGCTGCAGACGGATTTAGCCTTCAGAGGACGCAGACCCTGAACTTGGACGCAGCCATTGTCGAAACCAAAAGAAGCATTGAGCCAATAAAAGAAGCAAACATTTCCAAAAAAATAAAAAGAATAAATAAAATAAAAAAATTTCTTCTTCAGTTACCATAAACAAATTGGCCAGCATGGTAAGTTGTTTTTTTTATTGCAATATTAGTCATTTGTGTAACTGTGTAGATTTTTTTTTTGTTGTAAACTATTGAGAAAATGTGTTTTAACTGTATGAGTGCTCTGGTGAGATTAGCATTATGCTAGTGGTTTCCTATGGGGTTTAGACTGTCTATCATAAGCTAATTAGCACAATGCTAACACTCGTTTTTTGCACAAATTGGATTAATATTGATGTGTTTTTGACTCCAATGTTTTGAAGGAGTTAATTTGCTAATTAAAATTCATTAATTTAACTTGGCTTGGAAGTAAGAAAGGGGTCTTACATCACTGTCAGTTTCACAATTCAGTTCATTAAAATAAGGCTTTGCAAGCAGCCAGCTCGCTGTACCAGGTAGAGGCACTTCCTACAAGTACCTCAAAGCATGTTTGCAACAATGACGATGTAAAGATTTATAAAATATGAACTGCTGTAACATTTTTCAGGTTATGGTGGTTTTAAAACGACAGCCAACCACTTTGGTTTGGCAATATTAATCACCATTTCTCCAAGCAGGTAAGATATTTCTTGCTCCTAACCGTTTTTTTTTTTCACATAACTCCTGAAAAGATCTGAACATTCTCTTTAAACTGATGTCAGGAAAGGAAGGTAATGATTCCTAAACGCAAAACTTCATTTTTTTAAACCAACAGAATGAAGTCAGAGTTAAACAACAATAAAGTGAAAAATATAGAAGAGAATCTCAGAAAATCAGGGTAAGTTCTTTTAGATGGCAGACAGGGAGTTGGTGCAGATTTACTGCTGTGTTCAGAAGAAGCTATCCAGCAGCTCAGTGATCAGGGAAATCACTTGGGGATTATTTACGAGACAAAAATGAGGGAAGAAGAGAAAAGGTGCTTTGAAAACCATCTTGTTAGTGCAAACACACACTGAAGAAAGAGGCATTAAAAAAGGCAGGTACAACAGGTGCTCGCTGAGTCAGATCTGCACGGTTAGTAAAGTCTGGGAGAGCGTGAAGACTCCTCTTCACACATGCCGTCGGTGAAGTTAGTGCACACAGTTAATCTCCGGTCAGTGTTTCAGTACTTGTTGCATGTACAAGCCATTCTTAGAGCCAGCAGCAGGGTGGCTGACTGACAGCGGGTCAGTGGAGGCGGGGGTTAGTGAGTAGTGAGGAGCTTGCTGAAGTCTGGGCCTCGGTCGGACCTGGATCTTACCCCGTTGCTCTGGGTGGAGTTTATGGACTGCTCGCTGGTGGAGGAGCAGGTGCTCATGCGGTCCACGTCCTTACTGGGGTTGCGGTGGTAAGACGCTCGGCCCAAAGTGTCACTCCCACCGCTGTTGTCGCTGGGGAAGGAGAAGGAACCGGGCCTGCTGGCAGGAGATGGGGGCATAGGGGGAACCACAGCCCAGAAAGGGTTCCCTTTATGGGATGGGCTCGAAGGGACACACGGTTCTTTTCCTCCTCCGGGGGTCTGCGGTGAAATGAGGGGGGAAACTGTCCCGACTCGAGAGCTTTTGAGAGGAAAACTCAGAGGAGCCACGGTCATGCGGGGGACTGCGGCTTTTTGATGCTTCTGGTTCTCTTCAAATCCCGCTAGAACCGGTCTGAAGGTGCCGTCCTTACTGTCTGAAGGCTTATTACTGTTGTTACAGTTACTTCCATGAGAGCCGTCCAGCCTCCTCCCTTTAGGGCCCTCGGAGGCTAGCGGCTCTCCGTTTGTCGCGCTGTCTGCGCAGGGGTAAGAGGGGTGGGGGAGGCAGGGTGACCACATACCTGCTGACCTGTCGGGCCCCTCGGGGCCCGGGTGGTGGTGGTGGTGGACAGGCTGGGGAAGACGTGAGGAAGGCTGAGGGATGCGGGACGGCCGTGAGCGAGGGCCGCAGAGGGAGGAGGAGGAGGAGTTGCCCCCCGATCCTCCGCCGCCACCTCCCCCTCCTCCCACGCTGGAGGTGTTGTTGGTGCTGCTACCTCCAGGGAGCCCTCCTGTACTGCTGCTACCACTGGGGGGTCCGCCCTGGCCTCCCCCGCCCACATGGTTCCTCTGGTACTCTATGGGGGACGTTAAAGCTGTGGGACACACAAACGGTAATGGTTTATTCCACGTCACACAACCGTACACACAACTGCTTTCTTCATCGATACTTCAGCTGCAGACGTCAGGAAGCTTCGTCTCTTACCGTTGAGGAAATTGCGCTGGTTTTCCAGGATCTGGCTGACTTGGTGGATCCAGGCCTGACTGACTGCGGGACTCGTTGAATGGAAGGTGAACCTCTCCAGGTTCCCGCTGGAGGATCTGGAGATCAGTGTAAACTTGCAGGGATCTTCTGCGTTTTCCTCCAGACCCAAACAACTCACCTACAGACAAAGTTAGAGTTAATCCAACATCAGCAGTTTGGTGGTGGTGAGGGGTGGGGGGCATTTAGACCTGTCTTCTCTGTTAGGACATTTCTTTTTAGTGATGTTATTCAGCTACATGTACCTTGATGCTGTTCTTGAAGAGGTAGCCGGGAGAAGAGAAGCCCTTCTTTTTGTCCAGAGGCTCGCTGAAAATCACTATCTGCTCGAACAGAAACACTCTCCTCTCCTTCATCCTGGACAGGAGGCCCCCGTCTTGGTCTGACACCATGAAGGTGTCCTGGAGGAGCAGTCTGCCCTGAGCCACAATCTTACCCTGAGTCAAAGAAGATGAAGAAGAAGAAGAAAAGCAGCAAGTTGTTGGGTTGCTTAAACCAGTGGTTCCCAAACTTTTTAGACTGGTGTACCCCTGTGCCATTTTACCCCCTCTGTCAAACGTAATGATGATTCTCCAAAACTATAACGTACAACAACTGATTATTAAATGAAAATTATTTAACCCCCTAGAATGATTAGTTCTCAGGCATTTTATTCTTTTCAAAGAAAGAGAAAAGAGAAAGATAAAAATGTTGACTTGAAAGTGAATAAGCAATTAAATAAATGAACCAGGTAATGGCAGGCGAAGGAAGCAGCAGCATCCAAAATACATCAGAAACTCACCCAAATGAGCAAATTCCATGAGATTCTGCGTTTTATACTGGATTCTATTTTGTGTTAAATCTGTGATTTCCGCATTGCTATTTTTATTTATTTTTTTATGCACCTGGGAAATTTTTCCACGCACCCCCTGTAATATGCGTGCGTACCCCAAGGGGTATTCGTACGCCTGGATGGGAATCAGTGGCTTAAACAACTTCACCCTTAGGCAGAGAGGAACAAAAAAAGAAACCACTAACATGGCAATGTTTTACAGAAAAAAACAGAAAAAAACAGGCAAATACTGACACCTAGAGGTCACTGAGGACACTAAGTAAATCTTTTATATTGCTCTGGAGCACCAAGAGGGCCATGAGTGTACGGGACAAATACAATAATATAATGCATGAAATGCGAATATCTTTTAAGTAAAATCATTTATTTTTTTATGATTAAGCTAGCAGCAGGTGATCTATGTCTGAAGCCATTTTTAGTAAAGTTTTTACCACATGCACTTGGAGAAAGTCTGACATGCGCTTGGGCAGGAAAGGGCTCATAGGACATTTCATACATTAATAAAATATGAGTATGTGTTAGGTGTGACCCGATACCAGTTTTTCCTCAAACCGTGTACGAGTATTTCACTTTAGGAAATTGCATATACGAAGTACCAATTCTGAGTACTTACTGAGTTAGAACCTAAGCAATACACAGTAACTTTAAAACACATTTCTTTTGTTTAGAACAATGTGGCTCTCGTTCCTTGTAGAAATCAAATAAACAGCATGATATATACTGTTGAAACTATTTAAAATAAATAGAAACAACAGATAAGATTTGAACTTGTATGTTTCGTTAACATGGAACTGACAAAGTTTTATCTTGAAATGTAAACACGTTCAAATAAGTATCCAATCCAGTATTGATCCAGGTTCTGGGTATCGGTACGTTTCAAACAAGTCGAAGTATTTGTAAAAATGCTGGTATTGGGAGAATACTAGCACTTATGGTCTTATAAGGTCTGCAAATTTATATTTGTGTTTAAATCTAACCTAAATATCTCTTGTAGTTACTTGTATTTCATGTTAATTCTTAATATAATTCAAAAATAAAGGAAGCAACATGAGTAAAGACTATCTGCACTACAACCCCTAATATAGTCATTGGGCCAATGGGTGGAATGACTGTAGGTTGAAATACTGTTTCTACAAAGGATGACAGGAGATTACAGCCTAGTAACCAGGGCAACTGCTGGCGCTTTGAGCATCTCTGGTTTAGAGGTATGTAAACTACATGAGGCTTACCTCAAAACCCTGGAGTCGCCCAACATTCATCATGTCATTGCAGCGCTTTGGGACCACACACATCACTTCCACAGCTTTCTACAACAGATAATAGAAGGAAAGGCTGATTTTAAAACAAAGTGTTGGTTGAGGAAAAATAACAGAATTAAAATTTAGTACATGTATTAAGTAAGAATTGTTTTCTAGTTATGATGTACCTCTAGATCTGTCGTGTCCGCTCCTGCTTTTTTAGAAACCTTCAGAAGATCCTGTTGAAGAGTTGAACTGTAGTCATTTTTGCTGTTCAATACTACGTTTTCATGAACAAAAGTTTGATATGACTACCTTCAGTAGTAGCTGGTACTTCATGATGCGTTGAACTGGTTTGATAAGCAGATCCGTGATCTGTAATCTGTGGCCTAATCGCTGCTTTAGGTCCTGATGAAAGATAGGAATATTGTAAACGTTTCAGAGGAAAAACAGAGAGGTTTTCTGAATGGTTGAAGTGCAAAGTTGCAAAGCAGACTTACTTCAAAGTAAGTGTCAATATATTCTGACACAATGTGCTCAGATTTAGGTTTGTTCTGGCAGTACACGATGTACATGTGCAGCCTGCGCTCCTGTAGTTGGAGCAAAAAGAAGTATTTATTTTACTTTAATGCGAGAAGTTTAACAAACTCCTGCAGACAAAGACAGCATTTACCTGTTTGATAAATAAAGGAGCGAGTCTGTCAGGATCCTCCAAACACTTTTCAAGTTCTCCCAGGAAGAAACTATGGATTAATAAAGAAAGAAAATATGATTTCACCTTTTTTATTTCCTATTGTGTATATCCCCAAAGCATAATAATATTCAGTAAAGTGCATACTCTTTGTGCCAGTCGTAAATCTGATGGATGTTTCCAAAGACCATTTTATCTTTCCCTCTCATGTCATCTGGAACTCCTTCATCTTTCATCCGGCTCATGTAGCCCTAAAGATAGGAAGGTCAACTCATCTGTAAAACCTGCAGAATATATTTCCTTGAAAAAAAAAAACAAACAAAAACAAACAAACAAAAAAAAAAAAACAGAAGCTTATTTTTTCTTTTACCTCCACCACTGATCCCAAGTCTCTGACATAGTCTCTTTCGGTCTCCACCAGCTCCAGCAGAACATAACTGAGCAACAGAAAATGAATAATTACTCTTTAAAAATCACAGCTTAAAGTGCAACTAACCCCCACTCTGTGAAAGCATAACTCGGCCCCCAGGCAAATTAGAGAAATGCCAACAAAGTGGGGCAGTACCAAGAGATACGGAGGAGCACGGCCTAGTGTGGGGATGAGTGAGGAGGTGTGTTCAGGATGAGGGAATGTGACAGCCAGCTTAATTTGACAAGCTAGCACTTCTGAAAACAGGTCTGGTGTGGTCCAGATGCATAAAATGTGCTGGAAACAGATTTTATTGAAGTTTCACAAAGCAAATAAAGCTTTCACAAATCACAAACTTGGCTTTAAATTTTCTGCTATAAGTGTAGAATAATGCAGTACTGGCTCAAGAACCCGAACTGGGAGCTGTGATGTAAGCATGTACCAAGTAACAAGTATTACCATTTTAACCAATAGGAACATTTAACTGCAGCAGCCACTGTTCAACCTACAGAGGGCAGCCTTAAGACAGTTTTAGACAAAATATTGCAAAATTAAACTAATTTATATGCCGTGTTGTCAGCATTTTGTGTTAAAAAAAGCTAATAAATATAGCATTAGCTCCAGAGCTAATATATATAACAATATACAGTGTTAGCTCGAGAGCTGATAATTATAACGAGAGCTCCTGAGCAAATCTTATATATATATGGTGTTCGCTCATAATTTATAAAACATCACAATCATGTCTGATTGTTTCAACCCATTTAATGTGCAGAACATAGAAACTAATACAAAATCATCCCTAAAATGCATTGCATCAGTAATGAAATGGCAATGTGCATGAATGAAAAATGTAATAAACATTTACAATTTTTAAGTCATTAGGACTTTTGACATGTCTCAACAACAACCTTTAGTAGAATAAGGAAATAACATGTTAAGACCAACGTGCAAGGAGAGATATGGGATTCTCAGCCATGAATACAAGAGGAGGAATGAAGAAAATGCCACCCAGTGATTCAAGCAGTTCCTATTTATCAACACATAGCTTTTAACTCACTGTCTTCTCTTGAGGAAGCCAGATTTGCGCTCATCCACCTCATCGATGGGCGAGGAAGAGGAGAGGAGCGAGTTGTCGGACGGGTTGAGGGAGGGGGAGCTGCTGTCACCCTGCTCCACCGATAGAGAACTGGGACGGTCCTCGAGTGACTAAAGAAGGCAAGGAGGAACAGAAAACAGAGGAGAGGAAAAACTCAATCTTGTATGTTTTGCTTCTTTCTCATCATCATAAGGAAGCATGCACTTCATTTAGGGCCGTGAGCAATGTCCATTTGTCAGAACAGAGGACAGCTGGGGCAGTTAGTCAGAGTCCTGACAGATGACAAGTAGGCTTGGATTCTCTGTGACCAACACCAGGGGGGAAAAGTGTTTGTATGCACATCTATCACAATTATGTTGTGTGCAAGTGTGCCACATTTACAAGTACTCCTGGGTGTTGTTGATGACTTTCTAACTCACCATCTTGCTCTTCACCAGCTCCTCGATGGCGCTGACCAGCTCAGCAGCACTCGGCGTCTCTGAACTGCTGGGGCGAGCAGACAGCCGAGACGCCGACTGAAACAAACAAAAGAAACGGCAGAAACAATGAAAAAATAGTTTTTTAATTTAAAAAATATATAAATAAATAAATTAAAAAAAGAAAAAATATTCTTTATAAAACGTCTGGACTAACTGACATGCTGCATGCACATTTAAGCCTTTCTGAGGCAGGCAAAAGTTTGGTAAAAATGGTAAAAACACATCTCATGTTCCACACAAGTACAATTAGAGATGCACCGATAATCAGCTGGTCACCAAAAATAGCTGATTTAAAACTCGAACACTGACTGGCTGATCTGACACTCAAAAGTAAACAGAACATTATTTTTGCAGAAGTAATAAAACGCCTTAGGTGTGAAAAGTTTTACAGAGAGGAGAAGAGACTTGAGAGGTACAGTGAAGCCCCGCAAATTTGTTTCACAGTTTCCAGACCAACTTTTTCGTAGAACCTAACAACTAGTAGTTTGTGGTAATCCCTGTAATATCACGAAAAACAGAAATACAGTCCAGCAAGGAACGTCAATTTTTCATCTTTCTTCCTTCTAACCCGCAATTTACACTGCGTCTGGTCTGGTCTGATACAACCTCTGCAGTAAAAACGCACACATCATAATCAATGAGAGCATGTAAAATACATCCAAAAGGAGTCACAGGATGGCAGTGTATTTATTCTAAAATATAAACGCAAAAGAATACAAAAGTGATGCAGGTTAACTGTTGTTTTGAGTCAAGTGGACCGATGCAAAGCCGCACGCAGTGTAAATTTGGGGTAGCAGTACTGTATGTCATGTAGCGGCTAACTGTTTAACTTGTGTGTTTTTGTTTGGTTCTTTCTGCATTACGATGACATCCAAATGGGCTGTTGAGCCTTTTCTGAAGAGCATCCAATTTGCATTTTTTTCTCGATTTTCTGGAACTCTAAGAACATAAGCCCTGTGAAAATCAGGACTTCATGTTACTTGTCACTACTACTTGTACTTTTGTATGAATGTAATGCTTTTGTGATGTTTTAATTTATTTTATTGCTTTTATGTGAAGATCTTTGTGATTTTATATGTATGAAAGGTGCTATATAAATAAACTTTACTTACTTACCTACTTACTTAAAGAAGCTACTAAGCTAAAACATTTATTTTTTATGAGATGTTTTGTCTGTTGCTCAATTTCTGGCTCTCATGGCTCAGATTTCAAGTTTTTTTTAATTTTAAAATATCACCTGCCTCGTAAAATGGTAACATATTGAAGTCACAATTTTTTAGTAATAATAGTTACAGTAAATTGAATAATCATATTAATAGATTTAACAGAAAATCTTAATTTGTTTTGTTTTTCCTTCTAAATACTGTATGTTGGAAACAGTAGCAGTTTCCTTCAAGTTAAGGTAGAAAATAAATTGTGGAGTATTTATGTTTACAGAAGTGAAAATAGGAATAAGAAGAAAAATGAAAAATAACTCAATAAATCAAAAGTTTGATATTTTCTTTCTGTTTTGGTGTATTTGCTCAAATACCACCCTGAAGGACATTATTTCCAGATTTCCCATGAAACATAAAAAGCCATGAACCTAGTGCTGAAGAAAATGTGAATTTTTCTAAAAAAAATTTATTACGAAACCACAGTCAGTTCTTCAATTTCACTAGAACTATAAATATATATTCTGCATGCTGTTGAATATAGTTTTTAGAAATAAACCTAAGATTTTAGCACTTACAAAACAAAAAAAAAAACACCCATACAAAACAACTAAAGCCAAGAGAACTGCAATCGGTGCATCTCTAATTATAATAGTTATTCTGAGCCTGAATCTTTCAGAAATAATAGGCGACGATTCCAAATAAGAAGTAAAATAGTTGTCACCATCTGCTATAAAAAGCTGCATAAATACTTGTCAATGGGATGTTCAAGCTCTGATCATAATGATTTTATTTTAGTCGTTTCAGTCTGAAAAAAATGATCTTGCTTCTCGTCATCGTCTATTCCTGCATGCATTCATTCCTTCCTAACAAGTATCAGCGTGAACATCATCGGGCTCACCATTGTAGTGTTTGGACCCAGACACTCCACGTCTGTTAAAGAACTTGTCGAGAGAGTAACTTTCCCTAAATAAAAACTTGAGGGGCCAAGTTGGAACCAATCACAGGCTGGTCTCAGGGTAACGGAGGTCATGAGGTGGGTTTAGGTCAGGGGCAAGTTCAGGGATTGGAGTGCTCTTAATTAAGCGCACGTGCTGTGATTGGTCAGACAACTTCTACACAGCAAACAGTGTTGCTCACATAAATACTCCATCGGACAGAAAGATCGCCTCAGCTACAAATAGGAGTAACATGGCAGGTAAAGGATAATAATAATAAAAAAAAGGATTCTGTGAATGTAACCAGTCATTCCCATAAATACCTCACCACTGAAAAAAAACATGTGAATGGAGTATTCACTTCTGCAACGGTTAACAGTTTCATTCCAAGGACATGACATGTATTTATCAAAGGAAAGATAAAAAAGATGTAAAGGACATGAAGGGGAGTGTTTTTACATGGAGAGAAGGGGGAACTGGGTCAGAAGAGAGGCAGAACAGAAATCAACATAATGCTGAGAGGAAACATGCAGCCATTAAGAAAATAAGAGGAGAAAAAGAAAAAAAGGATTAATTATTAGATGTTAGCTTTTGACTGAAGGACCGGTTGTATCTTAATATATTATTTCTTCAAATATATTATATTTATCTCATCTTGTTTTTCATATTGGAGCAGTTGTTTTACTTATGAGTCAAATTTTAGAGGAAGCATTTCACATTTTTGAGTTTTCTGCTCTCACTAATCTGTGAACACTTGGTTCGGCTGGTGCTGTGTGACCCACCTTGTCATCCTGGGAGTCGGGCTGCAGGAGGCTGTGCTGCTGAATGGCCATAGGGGGAGGTAGAGGAACAGCATCGGCCCCCTCCTCCCCTTCCTCCTCGCCGCAGCTCTGCATTCCTGATGAGGAAGACTTGGACAGGGTGCCGCTGCTCAGCCCTTCGTTGCGCATACGCTGGAGAGATGTTAGACCAGATGTTAGGTCGCAACCCAAACGAGTGCCTCCGTGTTTTTTTTTGATAGCATTTATGCCGAGTCGTAGCAAGTCCTACCTCCTCCAGGGTCTCATCTTGCGGCGTGGCGGCGCTGTCGTCGGAGTCTTTCTGCGAGCCGGGCAGGGCGTCCATGTTCTTCCTCGTGCCGTCGCGGTTCTTCTTGTGCTTGTTGGCGAGCTTCTTCATGTGACCGTCGGCTTTACCGGAGCTGAGCCGGCGCACAGGGCTCGTCAGCCACTTCCTCAAAGTGTTGCCGGGACGTTTTGGGCCCGGCGAGCTGTGGGGTCCTAGGGTTTGGCTGGAGCCAGGCTGCAGGGCGTCATTACTGGATACAGATAAGGTGTCTAAAAGTCGGGGAGGAGAAATGAGAAACTGGGTTTATTGATGAGTTTACCCTTAAATAGATCACAAATTTATTTAGATTAAAATCAACGCACAAGACTGAGAATTGCCATTGGTCTTCCACTGATTGACAGTTTTATTAATTTAAACACCAACAACAGAAAGCCACTCCATGTAATTATGGCTGTCTAATAGAGCTATTAGGGTTTGTTCAGATCAAAAACACTCCAAAACAGAATTAAAACAACTCTTAAACATGATAGTAGGTCCATTAATTCCATTCTGCCATTAGTTTTAAAAACTTCTCATTACAAAAAACAAAACAAAATTAAAAAATTTAGAAGCAACTGACATCACTTCTTGTCAGAGAAAATAGAAAAAAAAGTTAATATATGACAGATTATTTCTTTATGTTCAGCAGGCAGGCGAGCCACCTCCACACAGTGATGACGCTCCTTGGGGAATCTGTGGGAGGAAAGCTCCACATCTAACAGAAATGAAGCAGTGAGATAAAAAAAGAAAAAAAAAACAGAATAAAGTCACGCTTTAGGCTTTGTCTGAACACATTTGTCCACCAGTCTGTCTCACCAGCCCCTGATCCTTCACCCATTCTCGTTGCTTTTAATGGCGTTTTGTCAAGATTCCATCTATTTGCCAGCATCAGAAATGCTGCTGAAGAATACAAAAAAAAGTTTTTGGATACTGTGCTGCAGTGTGACGGAGGGTTAAACAGATGCAGCTGCTAAAGATTAAATCATGTGACTCACTAACAGCCCTTATAAATGGCAGGTGTGGAAATTCGGGCATGCACCATTTGAGTAAATGCTCCTGCGTGTGAACGAGCATGCCCAACTCAGCCTCAGGATGAGTTTTTTTTAATTTATTTGTTTTTCTGCATATAAAAAACCCCATATGTTTCTCACTGCACATGGAAGCGAAGAGGAGAGTACAGTACCCAATAAAACGAGCACACCAGTGAAAACCTTGAAAAAAAACCTGAAACAACTCCTCCATCTCCCTCTGACAAACCTCAGGGGCCTCTTGTATGAAAACAGGCACGGATTTTCTACTAAAACATAGCGTATGCTTAAATATATATAAAAAACAACAACGTGCGCACAAATAAATTCAGACGTATGAATCTGTGTACACGTGAATTCAAACACATTTCCTTTGTACATCCAGATCAGCGTGGAATTGAGCTCATGAAACACATCCTGTGACGTTCTCCATTTAAATATGCAAACATGCCATGTGTTGTTTTATTTCCGGCATGATCAAGAATCATGCTTACATGCAGAAAGAGAGTTAGAGATACTCCTAAATGAGGTAGAGGTGTGACAAAACGTGTTTGGCATGCTATCCTCTGGCTTTAGCTCCTTGCGCAAGAGAAGTGACAGTGTTTTTGCTTTTTTAATTTTAATATCTGGCCAGGCCCTTGTCAGCTTGGCTTTATTCGACCCCAGCCCTGGTTACGTTTGCTTTAATCAAAGAGCTACTTTAATGTGGGTGGGGATCATCTTATTAAAAACGATCAAATTTTATTTTGTTTTATTTGCAACACAACAATGGACTACATCAAGCTCAAAGGAAAATTACCAACAACTGGCTAGCCTGACTCGAATGGAACCATGGGTCTCAGGGTTCCAGATTTCAGGCTGGAATAGGCTATAAAGGCTAATGCTAAACCCAGGTTTAAACCCAGGTTGGCCCGGCCCTGCAGTGCAGAAAGGCCATTTGTGAAGCTGTGACTGCTGTTCAGTGCGCCAGTAGATGAGGCGGAGGCATTTCAAACTTTACGCATGTGTTTATTAGCATCACAGCTGTGAACACACAGGCACACAGGCACTTGGGGACTTGGTAGAAAGCACTGAAACTGTAGTTTTTCCATACAAAAACAGGAAGTTACTCACTTGACACATCAAGGAGTAATGATGCCATCAAGACCAGATGACATTTTGGGGGCGAATGTCAATTAATTGTTGATACATCTGCTTTGCAAGTAAAACATGCTACATTTTAGTACTTATGCACCCAATGTCTACAAGACTTTAGGTTAGAATAGCCTGTTTGAAAAAAAAAAAACATTTTAAAGATTGTGCAAAATGTATGGAGTCATGTAAAGGTTTGATTACCTTTTTCAATGAAATCAAAAAGAAGTTAGTCATTGAAAGAGTGGGAAAGGGGGGCTGCTTTTTTCGTAATTCTGTTTTTCACCTAAACAACCATTGATCAGTGCTTCATTGTCTTCTTTGAGGTCAAAAAATAAAATATATATAGGGGCGGCACGGTGGCTCAGTTGGTAGAGCTGATGCCTCTCAGCAAGAAGGTCACCGGTTCAAATCCCGGTCCGGGGACCTTTCTGGGTAGAGTTTGCATGTTCTCTCCGTGCATGCGTGGGTTCTCTCCGGGTACTCCGGCTTCCTCCCACAGACCAAAAACATGACTGTTAGGTTAATTGATAACTCTAAATTGTCCCTAGGTGTGAGTGAGAGAGTGAATGGTTGTTTGTCTCGTTTGTCTCTGTGTGGCCCTGTGATGGACTTGCAACCTGTCCAGGGTGTACCCTGCCCCTTGCACTGTGACTGCTGGATATGGGCACCAGTGACCCACGTGACCCTGAAAAGGAAGAAGCGTGTACAGAAAATGGATGGATGGATGGATGGAAATAAAATATAATTTTATTCAATTTCACAGTTTCAATCGAAGTTTACAGTAGACTTGTAGTCTGCCAACATCCAGAAATCTGATTCACTATGTCGTCTCAACAGCAAATCAGGCTCCAAGACTTTCCTTTCTGATCCATACAGAAAACATTGGACGGTACAGTTCTGTGTACTGGCAGCTCCTGGTTTGTTTGAGGTGTGATCACAGTCAACAATCACAGCTCTTGTTCACTGACTGACTGACTCCATTTAATCACCTGCTAAAGAGCCCGCCGGTCCTTTTCTAGATTATTTGCACAAAAAGAAAAGCATTCTCAAATGATTCTTTGTAATAAGCCAACTGGAGTGTGAGGTAACTTCCCTCTCGCAGAACAAATAAAAACCACAGTCACGTCTATTAACACGACTAAGGGATGTTTTATTTATGCATTCATCCTATTTAAAGCTGTAACTCTGATGATTCACATCTGCAGTTGTTAATCTCCCAAGGACTTTAAAATCCTTTGTTAATTAGCTATTTATGTTAAGTTATGATACATACTTAAATCACATAGTACTACATTTATGGTATTTGTGGTTAAAACCCTAAAATGTTTGGGAAAAAAAACTATGAAAGGAAAGACATCCATTATACATCTGTTCTTCACGAATATAAATTCAAACTTTTATTGTAGTTATTTTGTTTTAGATTTCGTTTCAACTGTCAGAAAAAATCTGATGCACTACAGATGATTACACATATTTTCTTTTATTATGTTCGTCCACATTGCTGGAAAAGTTATGCAGATGAAACAATCTGAAAACAAAAATTTGGAAAAGAAAATTGAATTGCCTTTTACATTATTAGCAATCATTGTAAATGAGATATTCCAGACTTAAAAAAAGAAACACCAGTAACGTGTTGATATAAAAAGATTATCCAGAAAGAATAAGAGATGTAAAGACTAACCCCTGTTGACTAATTCCACAATTCAACACCTCTATATGTTAAATTACTAAAAGTGTTACCCGTGAAAAAAGTTAGATAATAAAATTTAATCACAGTTTCTGTACAGGTTTTTATAGAGAAAATAGAATATTTTATTAGATGGAACCATTCAGGGAGTCAATAACGGTACTGAGATTACATAACACCTGTGATATGAAGAGGGAACTGAGCCTCAAAGCTCTATGGTTTATGTTTCTACCCTCACCTAGTACACTGGTTGGAGTCCTAACTGGGCACAACTTGCTCGATTGCCATAAAGTGGTGATGAGACTCCATGTCAATGGTCTGTGTGATGCCTGTGGCATTGAATTAGAGACCTCTTTGCACTACTTGGGCCAATGCTTGGCCCTGAGTAGTCAAAGGAAAGGAATTCTTGGAGAACCATTTGTATGGATCCTAAGAACCTAGAACACTGAGTGTTTCTAACCTGAGTGTCCTTCTTCCGAGGGACACAAAGTTTTGATAAAAAGCTCAGCGTCTCTTTGGGGAGAGTAATAGGCCCACTTATGAGGCCCCCGCTCACCTGGATTTTTTTACCCATCCCCATTTACCTACCTACCTACCAAACAACCAACCAACCAACCAACCAACCAACCAACCAACCAACCCTCACCTATGGTCATGAAATTTGGGTATTGATCACAAGAACTTGACCTTGGATACAAGAGATCAAAATGAGTTTTCTCCATAGGGTAGCTGGGCCCTCACTTAGAGAAAGGGTGAGAAGTTATCAAAGAAAGACTTGGAAAAAAAGCAGCTCCTCCTCCACATTGAGAGGAGCCTGTTGAGCTGGTTTGGGCATCTGGTAAGAATACATCCCTGGATGCTTCCCTATAGGGAGCTGTTCTGGCCATGTCCAAAGACCCAGGACAAGCAGGAGAGACAATAGTAAATGACCTGAATTTGTATACCGCCTTATCAAGTTTAAAGACTCCAAAGTGCTTTACACTACAATCACCCATTCACCCATTCATTCATATACTGATGTTGTTAAACTACATTGTAGCTACAGCTGGTGTGACCGAGCTCTCTGATGACCACCAGCAGACAAGACTGTATGTCACTCTGAAACCTGAAAATGTCTTGGAATCCTCCTGGAAGAACTGGAGGAGGCATCTGTGGAAAGAGATGTCGGGGCTACCCTACTCTAGCTGCTGCCCCAGTGACCTGACACTGGAACAAGAGGCAGAAAATACAGGGGTTAGACAATGAAACTGAAACACCTGCCAAAAATATAAAAATAAGTAGGTCCTCTGGATGGGTTCTTCTTTAGTGAAAAGTTTTGTCTCTCCTTCAAGAGACTTCTTCAGTCTGATGAGTTTCAGGTGAACTCAGCCTTATAAGCACT